GGCCCAGAGAACAGCCTGCAGGTTGTGGGCCTACCTAACACCGGCGACAGCCCGGAGCTCTCTTCTCCGCCCGAGTTGAGAAAGACATCGAGGGCCTCCTGGTCAGATATGTCCATCAGGTCCATCTGCTCCAGTATGTCCACGTTCACTTCCATCGATGACATGCTGCCCATAGGCTCTGGGAGCAGATCATACAGGAGGACGTGCACTTTAACAGGTAAACGTCCTAGGACAAGAGGGCCTCACTTCTGGGGGGAGGGGGTTTCTACTGGGATTGTTCTGAGAATCGCTCAAGCGCCCCTGTGTCCGCCTCTGGAGCTGCCTGCATCTGAGCACACTGGCCTCACGCCGCCCGCCCAGCACGAGACCCCTGGGATGGTGGATTAGCAGTCGTTAATTGTGTTCACATCCAGAATCCTTTTTCATTGTTTCGCTCAAAATGCCTTCTGTTACTGAAAGCACATGGTTTCAACAAGAAGTTGGATGCAGAAAAGCATTGGTCTTAGCTCATTTTTTCAGGCCCAGGCAGGCCTGGGTTACAAACAAGATCTGTTCTTAAGTGTGTCCCTGGAAACTGTGGGTTGAGTTGGGACAGGTAGGGTAAGTGATTTACACGCTGCATGTGTGATAGTGGTAAGGAGCCTGTTGTGAGGAGGGATTTTTCAGTTGTTTCAAAGTGTTATCACCCCCCACACCACCCCCACCCCCGTGTTACCCAGGACTCAGCCAGAGAGGTGAAGAAAGCCGTAGCAAGACAATTTGGCTGTTCGTGTGCTATTCTCAAGCCTGGACTCTAAGCTTGGATCTTATTGGGAGATTAACTTTAGGCACTAAGAGCTTCCTCTGCAGAGAAAGCCCACACGAGAGACAGCAGCCACCACCTGCAGCAGGGATGCCTAGCCGCCGCCCACTGGTCTCGCCCAGCCTGGGTGGGATTGAGGGGTTGACTCCCCACAGGACTGGAGTTTAAATGACTGCTCGGTGCCAAAAACCACAAGCGAGTTGGCCGTCACCTTGGAGCGTGACAGAAGCACACCTGGAAGGACACACCTGAACCCCAGAGGCCTCACAGAGCTCTGAACTCAAAACAGAAACCCGGTCAGAATACGGTCCTCATTCGGGAATAATTATGTTCTGGTCATGAGAAACACGCTCAGTATTGGCTTCCGTAAGAACTTGGAACAAGCTTCTGGATCAAGAAAAATAAACTGGGAAGCCGAATGAAAAAGAGTTATCGACAATAGAGCTTGACAAGGAAAAGCTAGGTAACATGCGAGTGTTTAAGGTGTGTGGGGGGAAGAGACATGTAACAGAGATGCCCTTCAGATCGGAGGGGCTTGGGGAGCAGTGACCTCAGAGGGGCTGATAGCTTCCAAAAAGCAAAACCGATGCCGATATAAATTCACACCGGCTATCAGCAGCAACGAAGTGGAGCAGGATCAAATACAAAAACTTCAGACAAAGCCACGAAGAAGGATGGGAAAGGCAGTGTCTCAAGAACAAAGGGCCGAAAGTGGCCGAAGTTCAAAGGGGCACCGTAAACACCCATCTCTGAGGTCACATACAGAGTGAAGATCTCTACCTGGCAAAATATATCCGTGAACTTACTGCACCAGACAACCTGTAGAGTCCATCTAACTTCTGGCGGCCCTGTGTCGGAGCATCTGCTCCGTAAGGACTTTACACTAGTTCTCAGAAGAAGGCTGGCCTGGGCATCGCCACGGTCAGTGGACTAAGGGGTCAAGAAAACATGTTCAGGAGAGACTTGCAAATGTGTGAGCAGGCAGACTCGAGCTGACCCTGAGCAGAGCAAAAGCCAGGGAACGTCCCCGAGTGAAGAGTGGATTCTCCGACTCGATGAGCCTGTCCTACAGGGTCTGAGGCGCCATCTGTGGGAGCCTCTTTCTCAGAAGAACTGGCAGGTTCAGATCACTCACCTTGCAGTTTGCAGCCCAATGCATAATCCCCTTCCTCGGAGGGAACAATAGGACACACAATCCCATCAATTCAGTAGTAAAGCAAGAGCTACTAACTAGTTGCTGTCCCGGGTCCACAGGAGAACCACTCTGGGGAGCTGGGCACAGCCTGGGTAGATGTCAGCTATATGCCCAGCGGGCTCCTGCCACACACACTTTGATTGCCGCACCTCCCCGCCAGGACACGCTGCAGTGTCTGGGGCTGCTGACAGTAATGCTTGGTGGCTGTGGTCATCGCTGTCTATCAGTACAGCCTTTTGGCCTCTACTTCGATATACTTCAGTTTTTGCTCCTGCCTGTGCCATGTCTTTTCAAAGCTGCTGAGGAAAACTGGACCAGGGATGGCAGGAAAAGCTGCTCGGGCAGCACCGAATGCGATGGTCAGGAAGCCAAGCCAAGCATGTCCCCGTGACCAGAGCAGGCAGACGGGGGCCTGTGGAGTAAGTGACATGCCATGCCCTGTGCCCCGCTCACAGGAAGCGCTCGGGCAGCAAGGGCATCAAAGGCCGGCAAGGAACACAGACCGCGACTGCGGAGGAAGCTAGCCCTCAATGCTACTCACACATGGGTTTTACAGGGGAGCAAAAGTGAGAGCTAGAAACACTGATTTTTAAAATGTTAAACTCATCAGGAAGAGGACTCCAAATTTTTGTGTGGCTACATATGTTGCCATCTATCCTTTTAAAGGAGAAAATGGCAGAACAAGATGGAAAAATCTAATTTTGGATAATGGTAGGGCAGGGTTTATACACCTCTTCAATCACAGATCATTAATATTAAAGTGGAAGAAATAGACAACACCTGTCACTTAGAATTTTGTTCTCCAGCACAGGAGGAACAAGGAAAAGTATGCCAGTAAAATCTCATTTTCCACTCAAGATTTGATTTACATTCCATTTTTAAAAGCATGTTTCAAAACATTCCATAAATAAAATGATGAAATCTTAAGCCTATAAAAGGTTCCTGGGAGTTTGGGGCGGTGGTGGTAAGGGGAGCTGATAGCAAGGAGTTCAAGGAGGAGGAACGTTCTGAAAGTGCTTTGGGTAGCAACTGTCCAATACTGCTTCATGCGGGTGAGCGATGTAATGGTACATCTGAATCCCCTCCTAATAACGTGGGGAAAGGAACCCTTGCTGTTTAAACACTAGAAGCGTGTCTATCATAACTAGAAGCCAGCTGAAGCTGTGTTCTTGGGACAATGCCCCAGCCTTGAGTATCTGCTAACAAGTCCTATTGCTCAAATTAGCAAAAAAGGGGGGAGCCCGAAATGCCCACTAAGAGAAGGAAATGACCAAAACAATAAAGGCACACCCGTAGGGTACAAGTCACAAGTTCTCGGGGGTAACCCTTCAACACGCACGTTTGTGACAAGATTCATCGAGAGCAGCTGCGCACACGACTATTAGGAACGTAAAAGCAGACCGGGCCACGGGCACAGTAAGATGGAGAGTGCTACATGGACAAACCAAGTTGCCAAAATTCTCTCAGGAGGAAACCGACCCTTCCCTAACCATGGGGAATCAGAAAGGGCCAGGTAGTAGTGCTGCCCATGGTGCCCCCAGATCCCACGCTCTGTCCCTGAAAGATTCCACGTCCCCTCCACATTCAGTCCCAAAGCCTGTCAGGCTCGATGGGATTTTCATAGGTCTGGAAATCTGACCTCACCTTTCTAGAACCAAGGGCTGTGGGCAGCCAAGGCAACACTGAGGGGTGTGTGTGTGTGGGGCAAGCTGAACCAACTAGGGAGCCTTCCTCCCAACGGTTGGTGGAGTGGGGTTCTCTTTCAATGGCAGCACTCTCCAGGCCCCTCACAATGCCGCTGGTCCGGGCAGGGCTGCAGGGCGACCAGAGGCCGGCAGAGCCGAGTGAGGCAGTAGGGGTGAGGAGCTGGCGGACAAGCAGCTCTGTGTGGGGGAAAAATTAAAACCCGCAACATACAAGTCTACTGGAGGCTATTAAAGGAAGTCATGAAAGCGGCTAACCTGAAGTGGAGCAGGAAGCTCAATGATGTGGAGCAGGAAGCTCAATGGCACAGAACAGAATACAGACTGACAGCTGACAGTCTTGAAGCAAAGGCTGCTGTGGATAAATCATTCTGCAGGAACCTGCTTGTCTTCGTCTCTGGAGACGTAACTGGGCAGGCTGGGAAATTTAGAAAGCCTGGCTCTGAGCCCCTCAGCCTGATCACTACGTGGGCCTATTTTTTCAGCCCTGGTGGGAGAAGCAAGCCAAACAAAACCCAGGTTCTCCCGTTGCGTTCTGCAATGTTTTAAAAACCATCTGCATTGACTGCATGTATCTCATGTTTACCTTAGAATTAAAAAACAAAAAACCAAGGCCAGCACTTTCAAAGGAAGACCATCGCTGCTCCCATCCCGCCCTCTGGTACAGGTGGGCACGCCTCCCCATTAGCGTGGTGGTGTCGGGGTACTGACAAGGGTTCTCGCTGTCAGGCGCCACCCACGCCCCCTTCCCCTGACAGTTTCTGGTCACCAAGGAGCGTGTCCTACAAAGGCCTGCCCTCTGGCCCCTGCTTTGCAGCCCACACCGAATACTGAAGCCCCAGCCTTTCTGGCACGGGTCCCAAGGGGAAAGTGGTCAACGTGTACAACCCCACCATCTGCTGGGAAGTAGAGGTCACATGGCCACACTGCTGCTTTCCCTTTCTGATGCTTGTGGCTTCGGGAAGGGGCAGACCTGGGCAGCCCACAGAGCAAGGGTAACCTACGGGTTGTGTGTGTGTGTGGGTGGAGAACAAAGTATTCAGCCATCAACCCAAGATTGGCAGTTCAAACCCGTGAGCTGCTCCCCGGGAGGAAGACTGTCAGCTTCCACCAAGACTGTGGCCCTGGAAACTCGAGGGGCAGTGCTACTCTTGTCAGTGAGTCGGGATCCACTCGAGGGCAGTGGGTTGGCTCTCTTCCCTCGGTCAGGGGTGACCAGACGCCAGGGAGGCGGGCACAAAAGCAGGTGGGGTGGCACACTCCTCCAGTTGGCGGGCTGGTCGGCTTCTGCGACACCTCATGGCAGACAAGCACTGGCATTTGATGGTCATCAGGACTGCTCTGGATGGACGCCGAGGCTCCCTAAGTTCACCGGGGGGCTGGGGCGCTGGGGCAGGGTTTAGATGCGGGGCATCTACAGGTGGAGTCACGCAGGGTGGGGGCGGGTGAGCGCGGTCTTTCCCACACATGGATGAGTCCTGGCTTCGGTGTTGTGGGATCAGGGCTGCTTGTCTCCTATCTCCATGTCCCCATAAGCATAATTAACCCCTGCTCCTTTCTAAACGATGGTTTAACAAATACCTCCTCCTGGCACCGAGAGTCGCATGTAAGAAGAGCTCAAACCGGAGCCTGGCATGCTGGCTGGAACCCCGAGGACGCCCTGTCCCACGTACCTCTCCTCTCGGCGATCTGCAGGTAGCCCGTGGACAGGTACAGCTCCATGTCCTGCTGGAAGGCCTCCTCAAAGAACTTCTGCCGTTCCTTCAGCTTCGCCTGCTGCGTGTGCGCCATGTCCAGGACCTTCTGCGCGTGCTCGGCATCCAGTTCAGCTACAGGCATTGGACGAGGGGCAGAGTCAGGAGGGGGAGGCAGAAACACCTGCTCCCAGGCACCCTCCCACCTCATCGTGTCGCACCTGGCCCGCCTAACCACCCCAACATGTCCTCTGGAGGCTTCAGAGACCCGCCACCTTCCCCGCCCTTCAAACAGCCCTCGGCTCACACTCTGGGAACCAGGCCCAGGCTTGGCCTTCCGGAGGGGAAGTCCTCTGGCCGCATGCTCCCTGTTGGGCCACCTGATCACCTCCATCAGTGCCTGGCACATGAGGGGGCGTCATAAAGATCGTGGGGGGAAAGGGCAATGGCATTCTTCAGTGGACTGTGAGGGCCCTTTGTTGTAAGTCCCCAATAAACCAGACTGACGCCTGCACCCTGGGCGTCTGCCTGGGCTGGTGCCCCCTTCCTGAGCCCACATGCCACCTCTGAGGCCCAGGATAGAGACGCTCGCCCAGCTCTGACCGGACCCCTAAAGAGTCATTACTGGCAGGAACAGCGGGCCCTCAAGCCAGGGCTGAGCCAGTGACCCTGCACGCAGTGGGGGGGGGACACCTTAGAGAGCCCTGAACTTCGCAGGCTCCCTCTGGCCCTGGCGGTGATGCTGACTGGCTCCCTCCGGGCAGCAGTTGGTGTCTCCAGGTGGGGGTGCAGTTACTGGGGAGAGGACATGGCTGGCATGCAGACAGGTGCACTCAACGGGTCCCCCTGTGAGTGGGGCCCGCCCACTGCAAACGTGTGGTTCAAGGGTCGACTTGAGTTTTATGTGGATTTTGAACTGCAGGGGAGGTCGAGATCCCTCGTCCCCTCATCGTTCAGCGATTACTGTATCGTCACCCTGAGTCTCACCCTTTAAAGCAGACCCCCGATGTATCAGTTGGTCAACACTCCCCAGTGGTTGAACCTCCCTCCTCCAGAGCATGCAGACAAATGTGCACGCTGCGTCGGGGTCAGGCATCGTCCACTCTTCACCCTGGAGCTGGGTCAAGGAACATTTCTGCATCGACGTCACTAAGGAGCCGCAGCTATGCTCGTGATAGGCCTGCCTCTGCCCAGGGCTGTCCACCCTGAGGGCACGGGTGCGGTTGTGGGCACAGGGAGCCTGACAAGGGGAGACTGCTGGGAGCCCTTTGCAGGGAAAACGATGCCTGTTTTGAGGATGGCGGAGGCCACGCTGCTGGACTGGGCTTTGCCCTCAGCGGGCCAGGCACAGACGCAGGCTCTCCCAGGAGAGGAGCAAGCCTGGCCTGTGAGTCCATCAGCCAGACGCCGGCCACGCCAGGCCACGTAGTTTGCGGTGCCCACACGCAGCAGTGGGGAGCACTCCAGAGAGGGTGTCTCAGGGACCCTCGGCTCTGATCAAGCAGAACGCCGGGTTCCTGCACTTCATCGATGGCCCCATGCTGGCTGTGCTCGGCAGGAGGACCGGTGCTGGTCAGCTGAAAGCCTCTGCCCCCTTGCTGCCTGGGGGACACCGAGGGCCCAGTACAGACATTTCCCCTGGGCAGGGGTCCGTCGGGTTCATCCCCGGGGAGCGTCAGCAGTGAGGTGTGATTTACACACCCACCCAGCAGCGCTGAGAAGCCTCACCTGTCAGTGCTCCGAGCCTGTCAGCGCCCCATGCGCGGTACGTAAGCTAAGGACTAACCGCTCCCTGCTAACCCTACTGTCGCCGCCAACACTGTTTATACACAGTGTCTACATGCGCAGGGACCACAGAGCCCTATCAGCAAAGCCTTACGGGCAGGAGAGAGAGTCTGGCTAACTGGCTTATCACGTGCGTGCGCTGCATTCACACGCTGCCCTCACTTAGCTTGAAGCCCACTTCCGGGCAATGCTGACATGGATGCAGTGGGGAGTATGGCTGGTGTGGGGTCTGGGCAGGCCCTCAGACAACCTCTCATCTCTGCTGCCCACTTGGGTGCCCACCAGGCTCCACCCCAAGCCACACTGATCTGCTTCCTGTTCAGGGTATTTTCTGAACCCCAGGGAACCCACAAGCAAGCTTAGCCAGAAGCTCTGGGGGTTAAGCGACTCTCATCTGCGAGTGGATGCCCAAGCTCTCCCTCCCTCCAGACGGCCTGCTCTGAATGCTTCCAGACATCCCTGACTGGGGGCCGTGACCTTGGTCACTGGACCCTGTGTTGGCTGGCTCAGACCACGGTATTTTCAATGGCCTCATATGCCTGTGAAAGTGGGCACTGAATCAGGAAGACGGCAGAAGAAGAAGCGATGCACTTGAAGGATGGTGTGGGCAGAGAAGGCTGGCAGTCCCACGGCTGCCGAAAGAACGAGCAACCCTGTCTTGTGGTCAGAATGCTCCTTAGAGGAACGGTGGTGAGATTGTCTTATATACTTTGGACATGTTGCCAAGAGAGGACATCATGCTTGGTAAAGTAGAGGGGCAGCCAAAGAGAGGAAGACCCCCAACAAGGCAGACTGACACAGCGGCTGCACCAGCAGGCCCCGCCATGGGGGCAATGGCGAGGGTGTTGCAGGACCGGCCACTAGGAGCTGGAGCTGACAGCCCAGCTAACCACCCACTGCCTGCTGCCATGTGCTCCCCAAGCCTCCGTGGCTCTGCTCAGGACCCCGCTCAAGTCAACGACCTGCAGCAAAGGCCTAGTCCCGGCTCCGCGCCCCTCTGTGAGAGAGGGCCGGGAACCTCCTGGACAAGGCTGCAGGCAGGACGAGGTGAGAACGTAGGTGGAACTCGCTAGGCACGCTGCACTGGGCCCACAGCCGACAGTTAATCTCAACCCCGCCATTATGCATGGCCACGACTCTCGAAAACACGAAAGACCCTGAGAACCAGGCCTGCGCCCGGCGTCGGCACTCAGCCTCAGCCGCCTCTTCTCGTCTGAACCAGGGTGCCCGGGTTCAGGGTGTACGCAGGCAGGGCGAGGGACCTTTTCTTTTCTTATTCTTCACTTCAGCCTCCACTATCGATTTCAAAAGGAGAGAGACTCAAAACAACACAAATCCCATGACCAGGGAAGATGGTATGATCAATTTCAATGACGTGTGTTTAGGGGGCAGGAGGGTGGCACATCGTAAATTTTTAAAAAATTCCCTCTGCTCAAATGCCTCCTGTCTGAAATGCACTAGAATAAGTCAGCCCTAAAATACACTAAGGTGCTTCAAACACTTCCAATGGAGTTCAATGAACTACTTCAAAGTAATGCAGAGAACAAAGACACAACCAACATTATAAAAGGGGTTTTAATTAAATGATCTTGTTTTACCTGGATTCTGATGTCTTAAAGGGATACATAGTCTCAAAACATGGCATTTTAAGATGCCCACTCTCTGCCATCTCTGCCTGACTCTGGAGGTGCTGTGGGTTGGTTGAGCCCTGGGCTGCTAACTCAGAGGCTGATGGTTCAAACCTACCTGCCACTCTGAGGTGGAAGAGGAGCCTTCCTGTGAGAGGCCCTCTGAGTCAGAGTGATCCGCGGGCAGTGCCTCTGGTTTTTGGTTCTAGAGTTTCTATCTGTGGGTTGATGCTAAAATGGCTGGGGAAAAGCAAACAGAAACCACTGCTTTTGTTATTTACTTTTTCTTTTAAAAATCATTTTCCTGGGGATTCGTGCCAGTCTTATCACAATCCATACAGACATCCATTGTGTGAGCACATAAAGCCGCCCTCGCTGCCCACTGCCGTCTAGTCCAGTCTGATTCCCAGTGGCTCCACTGGACAGGGCAGGACCGCCCTCAGTACCGGGGTGGGGGGTTTCCCAAAGCCGCGGTCTTCATGGAAGCAGACGGCTGATGACTGACCCACAGTGCCGCCCACCTGCCCCAAAGCGGCATCTGTGAGAACGGAGTGGGGCTCCTGCAGGACTCACCCCCCAGTGAAACCCGTGGGCACTGCCCACCTCTGCTGCTCAACTAGGCGGCACGGAGGGCTGGTGACCCCAGGCTCATCTCTGGACACAACTGGAAAATCGGCAGCGGACACACCATCGTGGGAGGGAGATGACGGAGGGCCTCTGATGAGGCTTCCATCGCACCTGAATTTCAGAATGACCAGGTGGCAGCCGACACTACAGAAGAGTCTTCAACATGAGAAACAGGCCCTTGCTCACGTTTAAGATGTCAGCTATTACACTGGCAGGAGCCAGGCAAATATAAAGACTTAAAGAACTTCAACAACTGGTCTTACGATGAAAACGGACAAAAGACACCAGAAACGCAGCAGTAGTATTTGCCCCAGGAGACGGGGCAGTCACTCCATTCGGTTACCACGCGGGGCTGCCGCTCCTCCCATCCCGACTGCAGACCCCTCACTGTACGCTCCATCTGACTGCGCTGCCACACGGCCACCAGCATCCCTTTCCGGTGGATACTTCCTCAAAACAACGTACAATCCCATTTCCAGTGAAGACAGTGTAATCAATTCTCAGTGATATGTTTTCATGGGGCGTAAAGGAGGCACAAGATCTATGAAATTTCTAAAGAAAATCTACCAAGCTCATTTCAGGGACAGTTTCTCCCTGACCACCAGGCCTTCGATAGAGCTGACCAAGGACGAGAGACAGCGAGGGACGCATGAGACTGCGGGGCTCAGGAGGGTCTTCGGCCGGAGGCCAACTCGTATCAAGTTCTCTGTGAGACACCACAGTGAGTCCAGGGATTAAGAAGGGTTCCGAGAGTCTTACTGTCAGACTGTATCAGAGACTAAGAAGACACATTATAATTCCAGAGGTCAAATAGGTGAAATTTGGATGTTTTTACTCTGAGCTAGAGAACACGGACTTTCAGACAAGATCAAGGGTAGACTGAAATCTGTGTGCCTTCTGATACAACGTTCTAAATACAAAGAGGTAAGCAAATGATCTTCCCCACAGTTTCTGATACAAAGGGGACTGCCCACAGGCTGGTCAGCGCCCCCCACCCCCCCCCAGGAAATCCAGAGTGTGGGAAAACGAGAAGCCCGGGACCCAGCGGTGCCCACCTTTCTCCCCCGTGGGCTTTCTGTTGGTAATTCTCAGCTT